GATCTGTTCTGATTTGATATCTGTTCTGATTTGATATCTATTCTGATTTGATAGATTTGATATATGTCCGTATCTTTTCTGATTTGATCTGTTTCATTTTGATCTGCACGATTTTGATATCTATTTGATTCTGTTCTGGTTTCTGTACGGATTTGGTTTGAAGTGGTTGGTTTTGGATTCTGGAAGTTTTGATTGGAGGTTTGTCGCTTTGCTGAGCTGTTGAGCTCACCCTTATTTTCTGCGTGATTTTCAGGTTCTGGCAAAGGGAATGAAGTCTTGGATTAGAGTTCTGAGTCTGATCAATTATAGGTATTTTATACTTTTTGTTTTTTGTACAGTCATGGCTTTTCTTCTTTGTTCTTTCTGTCAGCCATGTACTGTATTTATAAATGATTGTTTTGAGGAACAGAAAAATATAGATGATTTGTTCCGCTGCATTTGATGTTTCATAGTAGCTCTGTGTGTTTATTTTTGAGTTAAAATATTTAGAAGAATCAGTTCTGAAGCAAATTCCAAAGCCAGATCCTGGTCTGTTTGTTTGGCTGGTAGCGGCCCGGTGCAGGCGGGATCCGTCCCGGTCGGGTCGGGTCGTGATAAGCTTTGGTGGTATCAGAGCAATGGTTTTGGAATTTGGATTGTGTAAGACAGAGCTATAGGAAGTGATCTGTAAGTGAGTCTATCTGGGGTAGTTTTGGTTTGTTTGGATTTTTATTGTGTAGTTTTTGTGATAGTTTTCTGGATTTTTTTTTTATTTTCTGTATGGATCAGCCAGACCCAGACATGACAGACGGGCAGAGTGCCAGTCAGGCAGCACCAGTGGGGAGTACAGCCCCAGTGGCCGGTGCTGATACACTGTCTCAGTTTGCGACACTTGTTGCTCATATGAAGAGCGAGACTCAGAGCAGAGCTTGTACCATCAGATCTGATGATATTGATAGACATCTCCAGATGTTTCTGAGGTTGAAACCTCCAAGGTTTGAGGGCGCTGTTGAGCCCAGAGCTGCTGAGGAGTGGTTGAGGAGATTAGAGAAGACCTTCGACGGCATGCAGTGTCCGCTAGACAGGAAGGTACCTTTGGTAGTATTTCTGTTGGATGGTGAGGCTGAGCATTGGTGGGTTGGCCAGCAAAAGGCCAGGTTTCATGGCAGATTGAACTCTATGATTACCTGGGAAGAGTTCACTGATGTTTTTCGAGATTGGTTCGTTCCCCCTTCTACACGACAGCACATGCAGGAGAGTTTTTTGAGGCTTGTTCAGGGGAGCAAGACTGTGATGCAGTACGAGGCTGAGTTTACTGCCTTAGCCAGGTATGCTCCACAGTTGGTTAGTACTTCTGCTGAGAGGTGCTACAGATTTCTGAGGGGATTACGAGATACTCTGAGGCAGCCCCTGATACCGTTCCGTATCACTGATTTCTCTGAGCTTGTAGAGCGAGCTCGTCTGATTGAGAACGACTTGATGGCTACTCAGCAGCGGTGGAATGCGAGTAGGAAGAGGTTTGGAGGCAAGGCTTCAGGCAGTGTTTCCTCTGGGAAGAGGAGATTTGTAGCTGGTTCTGGATCTGATGACTCCAGGAGGAGTGGAGTGTTGTCTGGTACTGCTACCAGTACGACGAGTTCTAGATCTGTCAGTATGGCACCTGTATGCTAGAGTTGTGGGCGGCGACACCTTGGCCAGTGCTACAGGATGGCTGGTCTGTGCTTCCGATGTGGTCAGCCAGGACATCGGATTGCAGAGTGTCCACATACTGGATTTGATTGGCGTTCTGAGTTCCGATCAGAGGGCTTTGTCAGACCTGCCGATTCAGCAGCAGGAAGACCGAGGACTGTTCCTCCACGCCCTGAGGGATTTTCTGGTAGAGGTGGTGGATCTAGTTCTGTACCACGGAGACCACCTATTGGTAGGCAGGGAGAGCCAAGCAGTTCTGTTGCTTCAGCTCCAGCTCCAGTTCAGCCACGAGTCTACAGTTTGAGTCAGCAGGAGGCTCGAGATGCTCCAGATGTTGTGACAGGTACAATTTACATTTTTGATCAGCCCTATCGTGTTTTGTTTGACTCTGGAGCCAGTCATTCTTTTCTGTCCGAATGGTGTCTTGAGGCTTTATGTTTGGATTCCATTTTACTTCTGGTTTCTCTTTCCGTGATTTTACCGACTGGAAGTAATCTGATTGCCCATAAGTTTTGTTTTTGTGAGATTGAGATTTCTGACAAGAAGTGGAAATCGAGTCTGATTTTGTTGCCGATTTCTTCGTATGACGTGATTTTGGGCATGGATTGGCTGAGTCTATATGAGGCTCAGATTGACTGTTCGAAGAAACAAGTAAGTTTGCTTATGGCTCGAGAGCGATGTGTATTTCAAGGCTTACACGGTGTTCTCTCCAGTCTAATTTCTATATTGAAGGTGAGAAGAATGTGGAAGAAGGGATGTCTAGTGTTTTTGGCTTCGGTGTGGGATCTGAACTTGGAGGTTGGTTCTGTTTCTGAGATCACAGTGGTACGGGAGTTTGCTGATGTTTTTCCTGAGGAG